TATGATAAATGTGATCTGTTACAATATGATATTCCTTGTAATTTCTTTTGATGAAGTTACTACTGCTCCATACGATATAATCGTATTTATTGCATTCAAACATAATGTTACATATCATCGCACTTATTAATGTGGTATTTCATATGAATCACTAATTTTTTACAGTTAGATGTACAATGTTTTTATTATACATTTTAAATATTAAAAAGTCATATTGTATATCATATTTGAATTGAGCGCCATAGAAGGGTCACGTGATATCGAGGACCTCCTTTACTCTGTCCACCCAGTATTTAATAATTTTGTACATACAACGATACCTATATCACAACAACCAAAGCATTCGACATTTTTCCTCTTCACACAGTACATTCCCACTCAGATCATCACACAATCACGTCACATAATTTTTTCACGTCACAAAATCTCCTTAAACGAAACATCACATTTTCATAACGAATTTCGATTCCTCTCTAAATACACTATATATCTGTAACATGTGCTCAGTGCAACCCCTTCGCAGCACATTGTTGAAAGAAAGACAAGCCTCAACATAATACTACATAACTGCAACATACACGTTCAATAAACGAAATAACCAGTTGTCAGACACGGGGTAGAGAATCATCCCCTCGACCCTGCCTCCCCATCGAACCCTTTCCACAGGTGTCCACTTCAAGCGGAACTATCCTCGATCATTTAGCGGACTAAGTGCCCCGACTGCAGAACAGTGATGCAGCTGTTGATCGTTATTACGTTTCACGCGGTGAAATTACCCTCATCTTAAGGTCTTGCATAACTCATCAACCACGTGCGTCGCGGAAAGAAGTCGATTTCTTGGCGAATCCCTTTTACCTTGGCATTGTCGCTGCATCGACCGCATTAAGAATAAATAATCACCGTGATTAATAGCACATCAAAGTATCTGATGAGACTCGGTGTAAGGCTCGATACAAAGTTTCCTTCAAAGCTTTCATGTCGAAACGTCCAGTGATTAAACTCGGTATGACTATTTTACGAGTGGACGACTTCTCCGTCGCTGTTACAGCGTTTTTTATGAAACTAATAGGGTTGTGGTTCGCGGGCGGTCGTGGCGAACGCTGGCTCAGGTGCGTCACTTTGTATTTTACGATGTGGATGATTCTCTTCGGGATATATCTACAGACGACGATCATCTACCACTCCTTAGACGATGTTGAGGTCAGTGCCTATAATGAAGCTTTCGAAAATTTGTTCAATTTGGCAAATTGTCTTGTTTGATAAGTTTAATTTCTTCTGTGCACAGAACCTTATTTTTGGATTGTTGAACCTTTTATCGATACTAGTGCCCTTGATTAAAATACTGATTCTGCTCCCACGCAGAAAGAAACTTTTCCGCCTGATAGCATACATGGTGCGAAACTTTTTGGAGGCTGATTACGACGACTTTGAAACGTCGATACTGACCACGTGCAAACGCAAATGCAGTTTCTTCGTTTGTAGCTCTGTCTGCTTTACCGAATTGACGATTGTGTCTTACGTCTGCGCTCCACTTCTTGGTACGTAATCTGCAACACTTTCGAGTATAAAAAGTAATATCTTCGTTTTTAATTCTTAGACATTATTTATTTACTTTAAACATTATTTATTCCAGTGAATTTGTTCAAGAACGAATCCGAAAGGGTGCTACCCTTCAAAATGTATCTTAATGTGCCAATACAGGCGACGCCATATTTTGAAATCGCTTATATCACACAGGTACTTATGTTCAGTGCCTCGTGATATTCACTATCAATATAACTATTATAAAATAATATTCAAAATTTTTAGTAGACATGAAACTTTTTGGACATATCTTATTTTACAACAACCATATTTTTACAGGCACTAGCCTCGTTTTCCATTGGATTCTCCTATTTTTCCATGGACAATGTCCTCTGCATAATAAACCTTCATATCGCTGGACAATTTCGAATACTGCAATACAGATTGTCAGACAAATACAGTGGACAGGTTCAGAACGGACTCGATCAGAAATCAGACTTGTACCTAAAAAATAATGCTTCTGACGTGTTTAAAAGCTGCATTCGACAGCATCAGGCACTCATTACGTATTGCAAGCAGTTGCAAGAAGTATTCGGCCTTATTGTACTCGTACAAGTGTTGGCGTTCAGTATGCTCATTTGTCTGGATGGATTTCAGGTGCTACTGGTTAGTATGCATCTACAATTTGTACGATAATGCACACTTACGAAGTATTTCACGCTTTAAATTGTTGTACAAAGTATTTCAAGATTTATATTTCAAATGCACCAAATATTTGATTGTTCATATTTGAAATTTTTATAAAAGATATTTCAAGTTTCACTCTGCAATTTTGTACGAAATGTTTGATTACGTGTCCACTTTTTTGTAAATTATTTCTAGATGATTTTCAAAATTCGTTATGAACATTTCAAGGTTTATGCTTCGAATTCTTTTTACGAAGCAAAAATTGTGGCTATAGTATTATTAGTATTAATATATGAAGTACACCATACTTTATCTTGGGATTTTCTTTTATTTTTATATTACATCGAATAGTCAGTATTTATTTTATCGTTGTGGACCTAATGGCAATAAATTTATTCAGCTGTTCCATAGGTAGATCTGGTCCAGAGGAAAGTAATTTTCTTTTTCCATCTCCTGACGACCGTATGTCAATTAATCATGTTTTCGTACAGCTGTGACTGTATCATACGTGAAAGTGTAAACTTAGCCACAGCGGCGTTCTCCGGGCCGTGGCTACAATTACCTGCGTCTAAACGCATCGAGAACCTAAAGAAAGATTTTATAATGCTCATCATGAGATCTAATAAACCATGCTGTATTTCGGGCAGCGGATTCTTCATAGTTTCTTTGGAAACGTGTACTAGGGTGAGCGAAATATTTTCTGCAGAGCAGATTAAATACAGTATATTACATATATTAACACTTTAATGGCCGCTCACACATGAGACGTAGATGTTGCAATTATCACGCAAAGGAAAAATATTAAATTTGTTATAATATGTTGTTTTTGTTTTCGTTTGTTTTAGGTGTTTGTTCACACGTGGAATTAGTTTGTGAATTTACATAAAGTTTTTTTAAATTAATTCTTCAAAAATATTGCGGACCCTGGCTACGTTTACGTAGGCGGCCATTAAAGTTAATTTATGTACTTCATAAATCTACTCTGAAAAATGTATTTAGATAACAGTAGATTTTGAAAATTCAGAAATTTGATGACTTGGGAATTTCAAATGAATTTCATAATTTTCCTGTTGCAGGTGATAACAACAGCGGGATCGTACTTCACTCTGTTGCAGCAAGCCCAAAATAATATTAGTTCATAGTTCACATATAATAATTACAATAACCATGCATTAAAGATAGGTACGCTTACAGATACAGACGATGATACATATTGCAACTAAGCTATTGACCATTTTTATATGATAAATGTGATCTGTTACAATATGATATTCCTTGTAATTTCTTTTGATGAAGTTACTACTGCTCCATATGATATAATCGTATTTATTACATTCAAACATAATGTTACATATCATCGAACTTATTAATGTGGTATTTCATATGAATCACTAATTTTTTACAGTTAGATGTACAATGTTTTTATTATACATTTTAAATATTAAAAAGTCATATTGTATGTCATATTTGAATTATGCGCTATAAAAGGGTCACGTGATATCGAGGACCTCTTTTACTCTGTCCACCCAGTATTTAATAATTTTGTACATACAACGATACCTATATCACAACAACCAAAGCATTCAACATTTTTCTTCTTCACACATTACATTCCCACTCAGATCATCACACAATCACGTCACATAATTTCTTCACGTCACACAACTTCACGTCACAAAATCTTCTTAAACGAAACATCACATTTTCGTAACTAATTTCGATTCCTCTCTAAATACACTACATATCTGTAACGCGTGCTCAGTGCAACCCCTTCGTAGCACATTGTTGAAAGAAAGACAAGTCTCAACATAATACTACATAACTGCAACATTCACGTTCAATAAACGAAATAACCAGTTGTCAGATACGGGATAGAGAATCATCCTTTCGACACTGCCTCCCCATCGAACCCTTTCCACAGGTGTCCACTTCAAGCGGAACTATCCTCGATCATTTAGCGGACTAAGTGCCCCTACTGCAGAACAGTGATGCAGCTGTTGATCGTTATTACGTTTCACGCGGTGAAATTACCCTCATCTTAGGGTCTTGCATAACTCATCAACCACGTGCGTCGCGGAAAGAAGTCGATTTCTTGGCGAATCCCTTTTACCTTGGCATTGTCGCTGCATCAACCGCATTAAGAATAAATAATCACCGTGATTAATAGCACATCAAAGTATCTGATGAGACTCGGTGTAAGGCTCGGTACAAAGTTTTCTTCAAAGCTTTCATGTCGATACATTCAGTATGGCTTTACTATTTGACGATTTCTCCCTTGCCTTGACGGCGTTTTTTATGAAGATGATAGGGTTATGGTTCACGGATAACAGCAAGGAGCGATGGTGCAGGAGGGTCGGTATACTTTGCACGATGTTCGCGTGCTTGTTCGGGACGTATATACAGACTTCGGATATTTATTACACCACGGAGTTTGAGGTGAGCGTGCTGTGCGATTGTGATGTGCTCTATATTCTAGTGTTCGTTTATGGATCAAAATCTGGTGTCTTAACATACCAATGTTCGCATCTCAATTTTTGAATTTGCGAATTCAAAATTAATCGACTGATTCATTCATAAATAATGTTATTTATTCATCCATAAATTCATCGATTAATCAACCAGTACCTTACTAATATATTTAAAATATATTACAATTGAAATTCTCCGTTTCCTTTAATTTGTAGAGCGTGCTTTTCGACTTGGCGAACTTGTTATCTGTGATCGTTCCAATGTTCAAATTTACAATTCTCCTCTGGCGGAGAAAGAAACTTTTCCGACTGATTACATACATGGTAGACAACTTCTTGAATGCCAAATACGACGACTTCGAGTTGCAGATACTGATGGACTGCAAACGCAAAAGCAAGTTCTTCGTTTGTATCTTTATCCTTTTCACCGAAGTCACTGTTCTGTCATATGCCTGTACTCCACTTATCGGTACGTCGCAACTTGTATAAGTATAATAAACTTCGCTTTCAATACAGAAAATTTCGATGATTTCAGAGAATCTAAGCAGGAACGAATCTGATAAGGCGTTTCCCTTTAGAATGTGGATTAAGTCTATCCCATTACAGGAAACGCCATATTATGAAATATGTTATACGGTACAGGTACAATCGATTATATTTTTTAACTTCATGAAGTTACTCTTCGTCGTTTGCTCTTGTGGTAATGGAAGTGCTAGAAAATGGTGCCGATTTATTGACAGAATGTGATGTGTACTTTGTGTACGTGAAAGTATTGTAAAAGACAGTTTTTGTTAGAGTTTGATTTTATTAATTAACTCAATAATGATTTTATTTTATTTTATTACAATAAAATCATTATTGAGTTAATTAATAGTAGACGTAAAAGTATTTTTAACGAAGCATTATAGTAACATGCGTCGCAGCAAAAGCGCGAGTGGCGTCACGACGCCATTTTTGTAGCAGTTCGAGCCTAAGGCCCACATAGATGTCGCTAATGTAGGGAAGGCGGCAATTAAAAACGTTCCAACAGTTTTTACTTTACAAATCATAGAATTATGAGAAAATTCAATTCAACTTATTAGAACTATAATAGTGGAGAATTATTAGAGCTATAGTGGAAAATTATTTTGACTTAGATTGTGGCAAGACATATACTTCCTTTATTACCATATGACGATTAACTTTTAGTGTAAATTAAATCATGCTCAATTATATATTTCCTCAATCAGTATTACTGAATTATTAGTATCAGAAATTCAAGTTTTATTATTTTCTGAAACATCACATTCAAATATTACAGTACTTCAAGTATAAAAAAAGGAAACTGTTTTTACATAATTTCCTTTAAAAATGGTTTTTCGCAGGCTGTAAGCGTGTATATGGTTGGACGCACATATTTTTCCCTAGACAATATTCTGTGCATCATAAATCTTCACCTTGCTGGACAATTCCGAATGCTGCAGTATAGATTATCAGAGAAATATACTAAGAATCAGAAGAAAAATGACGAATCGAGAAACTTGTTAGACCTGGCGAATAATGCTACTGACATCTTCAAAAGTTGTATTCGACAACACCAAGCGCTTGTGGAGTATTGCGAAGAAGTTGATGCAGTATTCAGCCCTTGTGTACTCATACAAGTGTTGGCTTTCAGTATATTTATTTGTCTGGATGGATATCAAATGCTGCTAGTTAGTATGTATCTACAATTTTTACGGTGTTGCACTCTTACGAAGTATTTCACACTTTAAATTGTTGTACAAAGTATTTCAAGATTTATATTTCAAATGCATCAACTTATTTGATTGTTCATATTTCAAATTTTTATAAAAGATATTTCAATTTTCACTCTGCAATTTTGTACGAAATGTTTGATTACGTCTCCACTTTTTTGTAAATTATTTCGAGATGATTTTCAAATTTTGTTACGAACATTTCAAGGTTTATGCCTCGAATTCTTTTTACGAAACAAAAATTGTGGCTATAGTATTATTAGTATTAATATAAGAAGTACTTTATCTTGGAATGCTTTTGTTTTTATATTACACCGAATAGTCAGTTCTTAATATTTTATCGTCGTGGTCCTAATGACAATAAATTCATTTAGCTGTTTCATAGGTAGACATTTTCGAGAGGCAAATTATTTTCGTGTTCCACTTTTTGGGCACCGTATGTCAGTTGGTGATGTTTTCGTACAGTTGTGACTGCATCATACGTGAAAGTGAATTATTGGCCACAGCGGCGTTCTCCGGGCCGTGGCTACAATTACCTTCGTCTAAACGCATCGAGAACCTAAAGAAAGATTTTATAATGCTCATTATGAGATCTTATAAATCTTGTTATATTTCGGGCCTCGGATTCTTCATAGTTTCTTTAGAAACGAGTACTAGGGTGAGCGAAATATTTTCTGCAGAGCAGATTAAATACAGTATGTTACATATATTAACACTTTAATGGCCGCTCACACATGAGACGTAGATGTTGCAATTATCACACAAAGGAAAAGTATTAAATTTGTTATATTATGTTGTTTTTGTTTTCGTTTGTTTTAGGTGTTTGTTCACACGTGGAATTATTTCGTGAATTTTCATAAAGTTTTTTTTAATTAATTCTTCAAAAATATTGCCGACCCTGGCTACATTTACGCAGGCGGACATTAAAGTTAATCTATGTACTTCATAAATCTACTTTGTAAAATATATTTCGATAACAGTAGATTTTGGAAATTTAGAAAATTGATGACTTAAGTATTTGAAAATAAATTTCATAATATTCTTATTGCAGGTACTAACTACGGCGGGATCATACTTTACTCTGTTGCAAGAAACGCAAACTAAAGTTGATTAATACTTCACACGTCTTAATTATAATAATACGAATGCATTGTAAAAAATTTATTACATGATGTTGAATATGTATATGGGAACTAGGTAGTTGACATTAATTCCACGATAAATATGTTCTGTTACAATATCAGGTTCTTCATAATTTCACAAGTTTCCAACTTCATATAACATCATCAAATTTATTGAATTTAATAATGTTAGATATCATCTTTGTGTGTATTATACAGATCAACGCGTGTATACATTCACAATGTATACTTGAACAAAGTCACACCTCGCTTCAAAAAACCTCACATGTTGCACCATAAATTGAACACATCCCCAAGTTCATTCCCGTAATATTTCATATGCTTCTTGAACTTCCACAAAAACCTTGCAACCTTTTCCATCTTTCCACCTCTCATCCAGCATGTAGCTACTACTTAGTAGGCCGAAGTTCCAAATGTTCCATCGATAAATCATACATGCTTCGCAAACAGCATGATGATTAATGTGGAATAACGTCGCACGATTCTTCCCTTCGCTTTTCAGCAAAGAAGAAGCTGGTTTCTGAAGTTTTTAAATTCCCACATCCCAAACTTCCAAATCTTCAAACCATCAAATTCGCAAACTCCACTCGTACCTAACAGTCCAACCCACAATCGAACACTCGAAAGTATACAAAATTGAACCTGGGCAACTGCAACGACCCCATTCGCAGTATACCACCATAGTCACCATCAAACGAGCACCCTCACAGCGAGGTTCATTGCCTCCTCCCCATATTTCTTTAAAGATACAATATAACTTCAATCATACTTCTAAACTACCCTCCAACTTTGTATCCAGTTCGCCATTATTTATTACAACGAGGGTTATAATCAGCCACAGGTATCGCAATTAATCCCATACGTGGGACATCGATCACATACCTCGCAAATAGCACTGTAATTACCAACACAGATACTACTTTCTCTACACACGACATGAATGCCACAGGCAGTACGAGAGGTCATTAATTAATGACTGGTTGATGAAAGAAATGGCATATTTCATCGATCACATTTGTCGCGTCTCGATAATTGGCGCGGTCGTGTGTGTGGCATATGTGAGTCTTGAATCAAAGGCAGTTCAAAGTTGGACGTGATGGGGATGGAATACACTTCGGACATCGCTGTCAGATTAACAATCTTTTATCTGAAGGTCGTCGGCTTCTGGTTCGCCGCTAATCGATTGCAACAATTGTTCAGATGTCTCACGGTGATTTATACTATTGTCATGAGTGTATTTGCTTTGTGGATACAGAGCATGGGGATTTACTACTGCTGGGGTGATTATACTGTAAGTGATGCGTTATTAAAGAGGTATTCGTAATTAAACGGGTTGTCAATACACGAGTTGGTGACCCAAAGAAGCCCACCCATTTGTGGTTACATTTCGGCAAATGAGAATGACATCTGCTGAACGCAAGTAACACTTGAAAGATGTTTGCCTGTTTTTCGCCTAATTGGCGACCGCGAGAGCCAATATACCGCCGAAAATGCGTGTGAGGCCATTTTTCTATTCTGACCAATTGGAGTGACGCTTCTAAACACCACGCGCCAACTCGTGGGTTGACATCGGTATGTGAGAATGTGGAATTTGGGGTTTGACAGTTTGGTGTTTAGAAACGTGGAAGTTGGAGTTTGGATGTTGCGTATTCAGAAATGTAGAAATTTGAGCGGATGAAAATTTGAAGTTGGATATTTAGAAAAGTGGAACGGATTTATGGAAATTTGGAAATTTGGATATTTAGGAGGGTAGAAATTTGGGTTTGTGGAAATTTGAAAATTTGGATGGAAGGGTAGTTTCTTGACAAATTTAGATATGTAAGAGTGGAAATTTGGTCATCATAGGCGTTTGGCAAGCTGGATAATTGTAAGCTTGATAACTGGAAGTCTGATAAGTGTAAGCTTGATAACTGAAAGTCTGATAAATGTAAGCTTGATAGCTGGAAGTCTGATGAATGTAAACATGATTTTGCAAGGTTCCCAAATTCCTATATTGTTCAATGCTCACATCTCAAATTGTATAGCTCCCTAAATTCCTAAAGTCCTACATCTCCAAATCCTTATATTCCCAAATTCCAATATCTCCAAATACCTACATCCTCAAGTTACAAAAGTCACAAATTTCTATGTTTCCAAAGTCTCAGATCTCAAATTATGCAACTCCCCAAATTTCTATATCCCCAAATCCCTAAATCCCCAAATCCCTAAATCCCTAAATCCCTAAATCCCTAAATCCCCAAAGTTGATGTAAATGTCAAAATGTGAGTTATTCATTTCTACAATTTGAAAATGAATGCTTCATTTTACGATTTTAGATGTGCACGTATATCTTCGTGAACATCCTGGGTATAGCCATCTCTTTGCTGAAGCTTTGTTTGCTATTAGTTCAAAAGGAAAAGTTTCTTCGTCTGATAGAGTTTATGCAGAGGAATTTCTGGCACTCGAACTATAGTCAGAAAGAGATTAAAATCTTCGCTGGTACGAAGCGAATCTGCATTTATTTCGTGTGCTCGTTTTCGTTCATTTCGCAGTTGACGGTCCTTCTGTATTCCATAAGACCTGTTCTGCGTGAGTACTTATTTTCAACTTTATATAAAAAAAAGAAGATTTTTCGCAATTCTTAACCTTAAAATTATTCGTTACTTTTTATCTTCATATAAAAAAAAATTTGTTGTAATTCTTAACTTTGAAAGTATTCGTCATTTTTTATTGTCATTTTCACATATCATGCACATATCATTTCATATATCAATTGCACACATGATGATGATGGTATAATGTCGTAAAGGGAGTAAAAAATGAAATAGGTCTTTAATAAACGTTTCCTAATTATTTTTTCAGTGAATATCGGAAAGAATGAGTCAGAGAGGGTGCTGCTCTTTCATATGTGGCTGGATCTACCCTTGTCTACGACACCATACTTTGAAATAATGTACGTTCTTCAGGTACTATCAATTTATCTGCCACCACTTATTCAGAGGTATAAATTTCCTGACACCGTAACACTATTTTTCTAATATTATTTTTTTAATATTATATACTGCTACTTCAACAAATTGGATAAACAACTATGTGATCTTGTAAAATTATTGAATTACCATGAAATTAAGTAATTTTTCTATATCAGTAAATTATTATTGTCACGTCTAAACACCCTCTAATTATTGTATGTTTTTATATCCATAAGTTATTAACAATGCATTTATACATGTCTCTTATTTATATATCTGCAAACTGTTTATATATCTCCACATTATTGTTAACAAAATATGTAACACAATATGTTAACATTATTGTCTGTGTGTCTGTAAATTATTTTCATTACCTTGCTTGTAAAATTAAAAACAAATAAAAATTTGTTCGTTATCGTTATAGAGCAAATACTATTTTTACAATTCTATTTAAATGTCAAAAAGATTATACTCATAATTAAAATTTGCATTTCTAAAGTACTTCATTTTGTTTGTCTTCAGGTTCTAAGCTTGTACCAATGCGACGTCGGTTACATTTGCTTCGACAATATCTTCTGCGTCATGTGTCTGCATTCTGCTGGTCAATTTCGTATATTGCAGTACAGACTGAAAAATGTCCACCAACTGGCTAGCAAACATGAAGATAATTCGAATAACAGTGCATCATATTTTTCGTACAAATGTTTCGTGGTGTTTAAAGATTGCGTACGACAGCATCAGATTATTATTGCATTCTGTAAACTGTTTGAAGAGGTGTTCAAAGTAATTGTACTCTGCCAAGTGATTATGTTCAGCATGCTGGTGTGTTTGGTTGGATATCAAATATTTCTGGTGAGTATTTTATATATGACTGGTTTCAAGTTTTACTGTTGTAAAATTTACGAGTTTAATTTTACTGAAGAGAGTTATAGTATCTCGATATTTCACTGCGCTCGGGGCTCTGGGGATAGAACGTTATGGAACTCTAATTTTACATTCGTTTATTGCCACAACTTCTCTCTTTTTATTTTTGGTTAATTATGGAGATGTCTTTTTCAGTGTTCAAGTCCACTAAATTTCCTAATTTATTTATGCATTAATTTATCTATTCTAACCTTAATTTATCTAGAATAACTCCACCATTAAAAACACTAAACTTATAATCTACTATTTTCAAACACCCATATAATTTCAAAAACCACACAAACACATCACAAATACAAAAATTGCAATAAAACATATAGCCTTCAGAGTTCATCTCATCTTCCACAAAATAATTTATTTATTTATTACCTGAACAAAATTAATGATTAATTCTGTGTTCCGCAGGTAGATTTAAACCTTCCAATGCGTGTATCTCTGACATCCTTCATAATTTCTAATTTGTGTCAGCTATGGGTGTTCACGTACAGCTGCGACACCATGACACGAGAGAGTTTGAGTGTGGGTACAGCGATGTACGAAGCACCATGGCCGCAACTGCCAACAGATAAATTTGGGAAAATGATACGAAAAGATATGCAAATTGTCATCATGAGGTCGAAACGAGGCTGTCACATAACGGCCTGTGGATTCTTTCCTATATCTCTCGAAACTTATACCAAGGTAATTACACTCGTACTCTCGTTATATTGCCAGCAGTGATGGAAAATTATTAAGGATGTAATGTAATGGAAAATTATTAAGGGTGGATGTGTATTGAAATCAGCAGAGTTATTTTGATGTTATTGTCTTTAGGAAACTTTGTTTTTATATGATGGAATCAGTACTGCTGAACGGCAATATAACGAGACTATACGTAATTCAGTCGTATGTTGTAGTCAGAAGAAATTTTTGTAGTCTTCAGAAATTAGTTTAATATTTATAAAATTAAAATATTGTGTTTCTGTACCTCTATGTGAATATGTACTTTTTTTATTTTGCAGATTATGAGCACCGCTATGTCATACTTTACATTGCTAAAAGGGAGTACAATAGACGTTGATACATAATTTTATTATAACCCTTGCTAAACCTATGTGAATTATTTGAGAAATACAATTCTTGCATAAGAAGCAAGTGATTTTGGAACATAGTATTATTAAATCCACATATAATTTTTCCATAATAAAATTAACCCCACTATTCCACTTTAATATGCAATCGCTAAGTTTTCAGATAATCAATGCATAAATATTCACTCACAAAATGGCTACCTAAATTTTAAGAAATTCTATGTAGGAGTAGAAGATATGTCTACCTCTGTAAAATCAGTAGAACCTCTGTAGATTAAAATTGAAATCACATACACCTATTCATATACTCACATATGCTTATTCATATACACATACTCATACAAAACTAAGAAACTATGTAGGTGTTAGAGATATGTGTACCTCTGTAAAATCAGTAGAACCTCTGTAGATTAAAATTGGAATCACGTACATCTATTCATATACTCACATATGTATGCTTATTCATATACACATATTCATATGCACATATTTATGTACACATACTCATACAAAACTAAGAAACTATGTAGGTGTTAGAGATATGTGTACCTCTGCAAAATCAGTAGAACGTCTGTAGATTAAAATTCGATTCACCTACACCTATTCATATACTCACATATGCTTCTTCATATACACATACTCATATGCACATATTCATGTACACATACTCATACAAAACTAAGAAACTATGTAGGTGTTAGAGATATGTGTACCTCTGTAAAATCAGTAGAACCTCTGTAGATTAAAATCCAAAACACCTACATTGTTCATATACTCACATACGAGTACTCACGTACACATATACTCATACAAAACATTCTAAAATGCAACGAGAAATAAATTGAACCTTAACAACTGTGACAACTGCACTGCACATGATCCACCATTGAATGAGCCCTTCACCTCAAAGTTCGTTGCCTCGAAACACCCCACCTCCCTTTCCCAATACAATACACCAATCATTATTTCAACGCTAAATTACTATGGTATTTCTATACCGCTTCGTACCTACTACTTATTTCAACAAGGTTCATCATCATATAGGGTGGTTAATTGCATGATTAATCCCAGACGTAGAATATCGATCTCCTTGCAAACAAGGTACCAAAGTCTTTCTGCAAAGCATATACGAATGGTCATTAATTGGTAATTCGTAGATGAAAGGCATACTACATTGTCTCATTAAACGAGCTCTGATAAGTGTGGGATATGTGAAGTATGTATCAAAGGCAGTTCGAAGTTGGACATGGAGACGAAATACAGCACGGATATCGCTGTTAGATTAACATTCTTTTATTTGAAGATCATAGGCTTCTGGTTCGCTAGGAGTCGATTGCAATTGTGGTTTAGACATCTGATGGTGATTTATACCTTTATTATGAACATGTTTACTATGTGGCTGCAGTGCATGGGCATTTATCATTTCTGGGGGGACTTTACGGTAAGTTGTTCATGGTATTCGGGTTCAAGTTATTCGCAGTGGATAATATTTAGTTACATACACTACCGTCTGTAAGTATCCGGACACTTGGTTTCGTTACATAAAACATAATTGAACTTTGTATGAAAGGTATTTAGGGTTATCATATCATTTTTAATAATTATTATCTTTTTTGAGGTATCATAACGTAATAGAATTAATTTCTAAGTACAAATTATACAATGAAAGTGTGGAAGTAAAATTCATGTCCAGAAGTACAAAGTCCAAATTTGTGAATCTAATGAAACGCTTTCGATTCTAAAAAAAATTTTAATTTCTACTGTGTTTCATTTCTATGGTGCTGAACGTATTCAGAGGGTTCTTCGATATGTTTCAAGCGTTTGTAAACCGTTGGTAGATGTTTAGGTTCCCTCAATGGAGATAAGAATGGAGGTAACGCTACGCACTCGACAGTTTCGGTTTAGTTCGTCTGTAGCTTCTTTTCCATCGAGATATGAGTTCCAAACGAGAATTATCAATCGAAAAACGTTCCAGTATTCTGACTTTCGCAGAAAAAAAATCGATTTTAGTTATTGTTGCAGATACTTGAATAACTTTCATGCAACGCGAATGCATATTTCGCTGGATACTTGTGGACGGTAGTGTATGTTCTGAAACTCGTGGGTTTACATGTTCTGAAACTTGTGGGTTTACATGTTCTGTAACTTGTGGGTTGACATGCTCTGAAACTCGTGGGTTGACATGTTCTGTAACTCGTGGATTGACATGTTCTGAAACTTGTGGATTCAGTACTCAGACTTGTGGACATCAATACTCAGATTGTAGCTACAGCACATTCATTCAGATATTTTTATCTTGATATCTTTGTAAATCTTTCGTATTCTAGTAAGTCAATTTTTGCCATTATTCGACTTTGACATTTTGCAATTATGTCGACGTGTCGATAAACACATACTAATTTATATTCAGAAAAATATGCAAATTGAACCTTGGCAACTGAACTCCACTATCAAGGTCCACTAATGAATGAACATTCTGTGATTACAGATGTGCACCTATATCCTTGTTAACGTGTCAGGTATAATTATAATTTTGGTAAAGCTATGCTTTCTATCGGTTAAGAAGAAAAAGTTTCTGCGTCTGATAGAGTTTATGCAGAAGAATTTCTGGCATTCGAACTACAGTCAGAAGGAGATTCAAATCTTTGCTGGTACGAAACGTATCTGCATTTATTTTGTCTGCTCGTTCACATTCGTTTCGCAGTTGACGGTTGTTCTGTATTCTGTGAGACCTATTCTATGTGAGTACTCATTTTCTTTATTATTCTTAATTTTACAATTATTTTTGTACATCGTCGTTTTGCATGTCACTATGATGGTACGTCACGAATTGCATAACAAATGTATTTTTAATAAATAAATGATTTGTAATTGTTTTTTAGTGAATATAGGAAAGAATGAATCAGAGAGGGTGCTGCTTTTTCATATGTGGCTGGATCTGCCTGTGTCCATGTCGCCATACTTTGAAATAATGTACGTTCTGCAGGTACTATCAATTTATATTCACTGTAAATTAAACTCTAATGCACATTTCTTGATTTCTTGACTTCTTTAAACTAAACTGAACTTTAAAGCCACTGAAATGTTGAATTAAGAATTTTATTGTGAAAATTAACATATGCTGCTATTTCAATAAATTATGGTTCACACAATCTTAATTATTGATATGTTAAGTTAATTAATTTTTTCTTGTCCATATATTAGTATTAATATGATTGGACACCTGACTATTATTAACTAAGTATATCAAATTATTATTTACATCTTTGTATATGTACAAATTAACTTCAATATTTTCGTACATCTGCAAACTAATGTTAACAAATTTCTGCATCTCTCAATTTTTACTAACAAGTTATTAAAACGTACACAGTATTTTTCATTAGCTCTAAAATAACAGAGTGCTTATACATAAAATTTGTTTCTCAAAAATATTTCATTTCCAGTATCATAATTTAATACTTAATTTAACTTTAATAATTAAGTTATTAATTATATAATTATACTTAAGTTATGTTTAATTTAGGTTCTAAGCTTGTGTCAATGCAATATTGGTTTCACTTGCTTCGACAACATCTTCTGCATCATGTGCCTGCACGCGGCTGGCCAGTTTCGTATATTGCAGTACAGACTGAAAAACATGCGCGAAATGGCCGGCATACAAGAAGATAATTTAAAAAGTGCCTCATATTTTTCCTCCAAGTATTTCATGGTGTTTAAAAATTGTGTAAGGCAACATCAAATGGTCATTGCATTTTGTACACTGTTTGAGGAAGTCTTCAGTGCAATTGTACTCTGTCAAGTGATTATGTTCAGCATGTTGGTGTGTTTACTTGGATATCAACTGTTTTTGGTTAGTGCTATTTCGATTCAATTAATTCCTATTGCAATTATATTGTAAATTATTGCAATTATTGTAAGATTATTCAAGATACTGATGAAAAAGCTTATACAATTTATTTCATAGAAAGCAAATTTATATCACAATTTATTCATAATTAGTCCTTCATGGTCTTTCACCATGAAAGATGGTATGCTTGTGTCTTTCTCAAAATAGTAGATTTTCGAATGCAATAAATTCAGATTGTTAAGAGAATCTGCGTATTTGTAACAATACTATATTCTGCAGGTAGATTTAAATCTTCCAATGCTCGTTTCTCTAATATCCTTCATATCTGCGAATTTGTGTCAGCTATGGGTGTTCACGTACAGCTGCGACACCATGACACGAGAGAGTTTGAATGTGGGTACAGCGATGTATACAGCGCCATGGCTGCAACTGCCAACAGATAAATTTGGGAAAATGATACGAAAAGATTTGCAAATTGTCATCATGAGGTCGAGACGAGGCTGTCACATAACTGCCTGTGGATTCTTTCCTATATCTCTGGAGACTTACACCAGTGTAATTACATTCGTACTCTCGTTATATTGCCAGCAGTGATGGAAAATTATGAGAGATGCCCACTTGGACGCAGACTGATTGGACGGTTCCCATTGGACGCGTTCCAATTAAAAGCGGTGTCGATTGGACCCGTTCATTTCAAAGCAGAGCCTATCTAACCTAACCTAACCTAACAGCTTCGAATTGGAACGTGTCGAATCGGCATCGAGTTGGAACGCGTCGAATCGGCACCGCTTCGAGTTGGAACGCGTCGAATCGGCACCGCTTCGAGTTGGAACGCGTCGAATCGGCACCGCTTGGAATTGAAACGCGTCAAATTGGCACCGCTTCGAATTGGAACGCATCGAATCGGCACCGCTTCGAATTGGTACGCGTCGAATCGGCACCGCTCCGAGTTGGAATGCGTCGAATCGGCATCGCTTCGAGTTGGAACGCTTCGAATTGGAACGCGTCGAATCGGCACCGCTTGGAATTGAAACGCGTCGAATCGGCGCCGTTTCAAATTGGAACGCATCGAATCGGCACCGCTTCGAATTGGTACGCGTCGAATCGGCACCGCTCCGAGTTGGAATGCGTCGAATCGGCATCGCTTCGAGTTGGAACGCTTCGAATTGGAACGCGTCGAATCGGCACCGCTTGGAATTGAAACGCGTCGAATCGGCACCGTTTCAAATTCGAACGCGTCAAATCGGCACCGCTTCAAATTCGAACGCGTCGAATCGGCACCGCTTCGAGTTGGAACGCGTCGAATCGGCACCGCTTCGAATTGGAACGCATCAAATCGGCACCGCTTCAAATTCGAACGCGTCGAATCGGCACCACTTCGAGTTGGAACGCGTTGAATCGGCACTGCTTCGAATGGGAACGCGTCGAATCGGGACCGTCCAATCGGTCGACGTCCAAGTGAGACACCCCCAAAATTATTAAGGGTGTAATGGTGTTGAATGTGTATTGAAATCAGCAGAGTTATCTTAATGCTATAAGAGCTATTTTAATGTTATTTTCTTTAGGAAACCTTGTTTGTATATGATGGTGTCATTAGTACTGCTGAACGGCAATATAACGAGACTCTACGTAATTCAGTTATATCTTGCAGTCAGAAGAAATTCCTGTAGTCTTCAGAAATTAGTTTAATATTTGTAAAATTGAAATATTGTGAAACTGTACCTCTATGTTAATGTACACTTTCATTTTTATTTTGCAGATTATGAGCACCGCTATGTCATATTTTACATTGCTAAAGGGGACAACAGTGGACGTTGAAACATAATTTTATTATTACTCTTGTTACATAAACCAGTGTGAAAGTATAGTTTGGAAAATACAGGTGCATAATAACCAGGTGATTGTGGAACATATAATCCCTTGACGAATTAAATGAGACAACAGAATATTAATTTGAGATTTTGAAGTTTGATGAGAACGTTGTAAACGTTTAATATGGTATTAAACAGTACTTCTGTGTAGGTAGCATTAACAGCGTGCAATAAAACTAAACATGTCAATTGGACTAATAAAATCAAGTATATTAATTGAAATGAAGATGTAGGTATTGTCTTTCTAAATATTTAATAAATTATTTCATAACTTTGCAAAAATAATTAAATTTATGGAAATTGAAATTTTATTTTAAGACATATTCTTGAATTAAGGTTTTATTATAGAGTGAAGTAGTACATGATTTTGTTTTTTAAATAAAATTAAAAACGATTAAATGGTAATAGTCTTAAACATTAATCATTTGTTCAAGAAATACAAACAGGACTCTTCTGGATCGACAGCTTTGATAACAGAACTCTTCTTGACCGACCGCCTTGATGGTGAAAAATGTGGTGATCATCAGAGTCGTCGGTTAAGAAGAGTTTTGCTATTAAAGCCGTCGGTTAAGAAGAGTTCTGTTATCAAAGCAGTCGGTTAAGAAGAGT